TTCTGACCACTGTGAAGTTCTCTCGGGGATTTGCAGATTCATTTGATTTTACTGAATATTTCAGTTTTTTCACATTATTTCAAAGATGTTCAATGAGTATCAACACATTCGATTTTGAGGAAAAGGTTTTGTTTGTGAACTAAGCATATTGTTTGTGACATTTCTGCTGCCATTGCAAACAACTGAGCCGTTGTTTGTCCACAGAAAATGTTTTAATTGAGTTTATTTGTTATTGTTTTGCAGCACTGAGCTGAACTACGTGTGTAAGACTATGTATGCATGTGTATATGTACTGTACGGAGTGAGCACTCCAGGTTTCTGCAACAAGTAAGTGGTTGTTTCCTACAGCAATTTACTTGTATGTTGCTATATGACCTTAAGTCTTTTTACGAGAATTCTGTTAACATTTCAATAACCACAAATCGTGTCTTGTATGAAAATGACAATAGTGTACAGTCAGGAAAATGACTCATTGGAACTGACTGAATTTTTCTTAAAGATTCTTCAGATTAGCAGTTGCTACAAACAATGAGTAAATTCACACGATACCACACAATATCTTCACCAAAATTATAACAGATTTTGAATAAAAAAGAGAAACGTGCTTAGAAAGAATGCTTATTTGCAATAAATGTATGAATGCAATGATACTGTAACCTAAAAGAGACAAAAGGAGAGTCGTGTAACGCTCAAACGCTGGCTATGCAAGCAAGTCCTGAACCTTGAAAAGAGAATCGCAACATTTGAAATGATCGCTTGGGGCTCATTAAGAGTCTAGAAGATCGTCTGAATGATCTCAGTCATTCATAGCATCTCCGTGTCATTCTGTAACATCTCGCAGGAATGAATGAAACTTTATCTTTTACGGGTTCTCTTTAAGTTTACACATGTGCCACTGTGGTTGTTGCTATCAGATGCTGTCCAGTGACTCATCTGAGTGTCTAAGGGGTGGAAACGTACCCCAACTGAAGCAATGTCACGTGTGTATTTAGATTTAAACAGTAACAGGACTATATGTATATATAAATGTGTACGCGTAACCCAAAGCAGAACCGGAATTGCTCGCTTCACTGCAAGTGTACAGAAAGACTGGAGCTTTAAAAGATTTCAGAATAAAGGTTACTGCTGAACGCACTGCGAGGAGTGGAGTTTTTGTGTCATAGTGTGCGCACTTTTTATTCAATCTATATGTCATTTTTTCCTCATAAGTGTTTATCTCTCAGTCTGTTACGCTCTCGGTTGCTTAATAAGGTAATACAGGAAAAAAGGCAAAATGGAGTAAATTTAAAAGACCTTTAAGATAAAAGTTTAAATGGTTCAGTCTGATCTTTTGTCTTTAAACGACTCTAGGTATAACGACTCTACCTGTGCGACTCCAAACTTACTTTATTGTTGTTTCCTTTCTCTTCTACACAACTTTTCATCTGATCTTTCTGTTTGTGAGCTCTTTTACACTATGGATTTTCAAACACCCTCTGTCCCCTTGTTTTCTGATGTTCTCCGCGAACATCGTTCTAAAGAGGAAGTGGCGCAAATTGAAAGACCCTACTGACACTTTATCAATCCTTCCTCTCTTGCTTCTCTGCTAATATCTCTACTGGCAAAATGACTTACTACACCAACAAATTGAACAATTCTTCCGACTCTCGCTTGCTTTTCAAAACCTTCTCACCAATCGCCCTACCACTTGTCCGCTTGATCCCATTCTCACTATTCTACTTCAAGCCATTTCTTCCTCAGTTGTACCCGCACTCACATGCATCATAAACACCTCTCTTCACACTGGTACATTTCCCATAGCTTTTAAGCAGGCATGGGTATTCCACAGACTGTAAAAAAATATAGACAAAGTGCCTGTGACGTCACCCATAGACTCTCTGAAGAATGGGTTTGAAGCCGTTTATGGGGGGGTATGGGCGGCGCCATCTTGGAAAATCTTGGGAAATCCTAGCCCTGCCCATCGTCTGGTCAATCCATATATGGGTAAAAGGGCTTTGTGTGAGACTGAGTCGGCCAGTGTACCCGCCCTTTTACAAGTTGCAACTTCTAGGTTAAATAAGCTAACGTTAGCAGCTAACTAAAAAGCCTCGAAATTTAAAAATACTACTGTTATTGTGTCACGAAAAGTAGTTTTAGTAGTTTTTCAGTCGACAATGTAGTTGTTTAAAGCTCAAATCTGTGGTTTATTTATACAGGTATTTTCGGAGTGTCCAAGGGTTCGCCAGGCGCTCATGTAAAGTTACTCTGCCTGGAACAGTCTTGCCTCGGCCAGTGCTTCTGACGTTTGCCGCTGGCTCTGAACATGAGATATAATTCGACTTGTGTATATCTAAAGGGCCATTTTTGGTCTCACAAAAAGAGACAGGGTTGTGACATTTTATTATAAATAGCCTAACGACCATAGACTGGGCCTCCTCTCCATTCCACGACGAACTGAACTTGCACTTTAAAATGTTATCTTATAGCCAGCATGGCTATAAGTTACACTCTAAAACATTCTGGGTTGTTTTAACCCAATTTTGGGTAAAATATGGACAAACCCAGCCATTGGGTTACATTTTTAAATTATATTTTTAACCCAATGGCTGGGTTTGTCCATATTTTACCCAAAATTGGGTTAAACCAACCCAGCATTTTTTAGAGTGTACTGTATTATACGGAACTGTTGGCAACCCTAGTACCTCGGACTTATCCGAGGCAACTTAACTGCTAACTGTTGAACAGACACTGCCCACAAACGTGCTGCCCATGCTAGTGCTAACTACGAGATATAGTAGTGGAATGTCACTTACCGGAAAAAATGGAGCGAAGTCCCCGTGATCAGCTGTCAAGCAAGCTGTCAATCAAAGTTAACCACCCTTATTCTAAATACGATCTAAACTAACGAGTTAGAAAAAAAATTCACCCCCCACACAGTTGTCAGGCACTCGGAACCTATAGAAAAATACAATGAAAGACCATGGGACCAAACTGTAAACATATGAATTTATGCTGTGAAAACAGACATTTTGACTTGAGGTCATGGATATTTGCACCCTTTTGGGACGACCCCTAGCGGATTTTCGATGTATTGCAGTTTTTCGCACTTCCGGGTAGGCTTCATTTTTTAGATTAGAAATTTGCCACTTGGGGTATTCCCACTGCTTAAGAAACCCTATCTAAATCCAGCCCATCTGGGAAATTACAGACCGCCGGTATCCCTTGTGAAAACACTTGAACGAGTTGTTTTCAACCAGATCTCTTCCTTTCGTTCACAGAACAACCTCTTGGACAACAATCAGTCTGGTTTCTAAAGAGGACACTCAACTGAGACTGCCCTGCTCTCAGTAATTGAAGCTCTGAGACTGGCAAGAGTCCTCAGTTCTCATCCTGCTGGATCTGTCTGCTGCCTTTGACACAGTTAACCTCCAGATCCCCCCGTCAGTCCTAAAGATGAAGGGCATCTCGGGATTCGCACTCCAATGGTTCAAATCTTACCTCTCAGATAGGTCCTTTTGGGTGACATGAAGGGGTGTGGTGTCTAAGACCCAACATCTAGCTACTGGGGTGCCTCAGGGCTCAGTGCTTGGACCACTTCTCTTCTCCATCTACATGACATCACTAGGATCTGTGATTCAGAAACATGGCTTTTCCTATCACTGCTACGCCAATGACACACAGCTCTTATTCCAGCCTGACGATCCAATGGTAACTGCTCGTATCTCAGCCTGCCTGACAGACATTTCCGGCGGGATGAAGGACCACCACCTTCAACCTTGCGGAGACAGAGCTACTTGTGATCCCGGCCAACCCAACACTTCATCACAACTTTACCATTCAGCTAGGCTCATCCATAAGGCCATTTTTCCATGCGCCTGGCGTATGTTTTCAATTGTTTTCAACGGGAGCGCCGCGTTTTTTAAACGCCATGAGCGTACTAAGGCGCTGAGCGTTTTTTTTTTCACGCTGAAGTGCCGAGCGCCTGGCATTTAAACGCAGCGCTCATCACTGTCAATTTTTACCCAGCCATCCAATCACAGTGGAGGAGAGGCGGGACTAATACCACACCGACCAACTGTCAACATTCAAACCGCTGCAGATATTCTGTATCATAGCAACGAAACGTCTCAACGGAAAAAACGCTGCGCTGCCAAAACGCTCTCAAGCGGCCAAAGCACGGTGTCTTCAGCAGAGCGTCTAGCGTTTTCAGCTGGCTACTTTGGTGGACACACGGCCTAACTCCAATCAAGGTCAGCCAGGAACCTTGGGGTCGTAATTGATGATCAATTGAACTTCACAGACCACATTGCTAGAACTGCCCAGTCATGTAGGAAGATTAGGCCCTTCCTAATAGAGCATGTTACACAACTAGTCCAAGCGCTTGTTTAATCCAGACTGGACTATTGTAATGCTCTCCTGGCTGGTCTTCCAGCTTGCTCTGTCAAACCTCTACAACTAATCCAGAATGCTGCAGCCAAAGTGGTCTTTAATAAACCGAAGAGAGCACACCTCACTCCTCTCCTCACAAAATTGCACTGGTGGCCAGTTGCCGCTCACATTAGTCACTGATGTTTGCCTACAGAACAACCACTGGCTCTGCTCACTTTTACCTAAACTCATTACTTCTGACTTATGTGCCGCCAGAAACTTGCGCTCTGCAAGCGAATGTCATCTCGAAGAGGCACAAAATCTCTTTCTCAGACCTTTACAATGACTGTTCACTGTTGGTGGAATGATCCGCCTAACTCAACCAGAGCTGCTGAGTTCGTAGCCACTTTCAAAAAACGTCTGTATGCATCTTTTTCGTCAGGACTTGATCCAGTAATACTAACACTTTCTCTTCTATTCAATTTTTTTTTTCTTATCAAACTGAGAGGACTGTTGTCTGCTTAACTGCGTCTATTGTTCTCATTTGTAAGTCGCTTTGGATAAAAGTGTCTGCTAAATGAATAAATGTAAATGTACCACTAAAAAGGAGTTTGTTCAACATAAAATGTAGTGCATTTTGTGTGCAGCTCCATGCAAACGGGAGAATGTGTTCATATGCGTATATTTGTATGATGCATTCCAAAACTACTTTAATTAGAAAGACACTTACAGTCTGAATAGCGTTAATCAAACCAGTAATAATGAAACATCAACGAGATCGTGACAGCTCTCTCTCTCTCTCTCTCTCTCTCTCCAAAACAGTAAGCAGGTGAAGGGCAGTGTGAGAAAGAGAGGGAGGAGAATGACAGGAAGACATAGCAGGTGAGGAAACAATGAGCTGAGCAGAAGACAAGACTGGCAGAAGACGCAGAAATTGAGTTTGAAAGCATTTGATGACATTACGGATTCTACTAATTGTGAGGTACGGACTATTTTTACTTACAGTACACTGCAGTTATTTATATGCTGTTTGGTGTTTTTCACTTGCCGCATTTTTCTAAAATGCAGGTCTTTGTTATAAGATGCTGACTGAAACCTAAAACGATTTAGTAAAAGTAAACTAAACAAGCCAGTCACATACTTATTTGCTGTTTGCATCAAATCCACAAATCTTCATTTTTTGCAAACTCAGCCGATGCAAAATATAGGCTATACTGACCATGAACGTGGGAATATTGATGTGAAACTTCACATCACACTTCTTTATTCGTGTGTGATATGTTGTGTGCGTGGATCACTTCTTGTCTGATATAATTGTATTATTTACAGATGCTTGTGACATTGCTATCTGTAGCCATGGTGATGCTGACAGGTCACCTGATATATGGCCTCCCTATGGTAATGTTATAATGGATATGATAAATACTATGTTAACATGTTGTAAAGACGCTAAATTAGCACAAAACCATTTCTAATGTGCACTTTAAAGATACAGCGTTACTGTATCGGATGCATCCGTTACTGATTGTCTTTTGTGCTGTCGTTTGTTTGCTTTGAGCAGGACAGTAAAGTGAGAAGACCCAGAGCCCTGTCAGATGATTGCACTTCTCTGTGTCCAGCAGGTGAGAGTGCATGTTTGGGCGTTATATTTTCTCAGAGCCTTTTATGTCTGGCATGTGGCATCACTTTCTCTGAATTCGATCCCCGTTTTGTGTGGAGAGTGTGTCACCACACTTCCCAGTATTACGAATGTGGTCTGAGCAAGAAATTGCTCAAGAAATTAGAGGTTATTTATTAAGTTTTTCTTCGTCGTTCTTTCTTCTTCCTTCGTCTCTCTTTCTTTTTCTCTCGTGATGGGAAATGGTACCTTCTGACACAGAAGCGTCAACCACTTCCTTCATTAGAATGCCACTGCCTGTTAAAGCTTCTGTGTAACGTCCTGTTTTTGATGCTATTTCTCATCTCTCCCCTTAAGAGACCTCAGTCAGCAAGTATGAGTCTGTGCATGTAAAGTGTGTGTGCACGTACTGTGTGTGAGTGTGTCTGTGTGCGAGCAGCACCCACATCCGCCTTAAAGGTATTCAGTGTGTGCCCTTTGAGCTGATGTCTGTGCACAGTCAAATACAAATTGAGTTATTACGTCTTTAAATATGTTATGCTAGTCATTTTACTTCCATCTATTCCGTGCATTCATGTTTGGCAGTTATGTGTGCGCGCAAGTTATGTGTAAACACCTTTTTTAAAGAGCCCCTAAATAGAAAATAGTAAACATTAGTCTGATGCTATTTGCACTGAGAGTGTAAGAGTTGTTAGATGCTATTTATACCTAGTGCAAATGGTGTCAGATACAATTGGACCTCAGTGTATTGTAGTAAACGATTTGCAATAATAAAAACATATTTAGTGTATATGATTATGTTTATTAAATTCATAAATGGATGCCACCTTATTAGGACATTAATGAACGAGTTGGACTACACCTACCCCTGATTAAACAATTTATTCCCTCTATTAAAATCTCGTTGGGCACTTTATTTCCACTTTTTAAACATTTTCTTAATTTTCGTTTAAGATAGACACTTCTGCGAGCTGATGTGCGATGGGAAAAGGTAGAAAAAGGAGTTTACAAGATGGCAGATCTTGGGTCACATCAAAAGTTAACACTACCCACCTTACACTCCCCCGATTCTGTTATCAGATTGGGTTTCTTTTGTAATTATTTAACTGGGTCAATCATCGGTGGGCGTTGTTCATTTAAATAGCCTCTGTCTACAGGGTGGGCTTTTTCCACTCACTTTTGATATTTCAATGCTTTTGCTTTCTCTTCTAAAATGTTTGCGTTCCCCCCAAGAAACAGTGTGTAGGCTACTCTTGCAGTTGCAATACTTATGTGAATTATGAGATGGGAGGAAAAATATACATTTCAGCTTTTTTGCAAATTTCTCTGGGGAGTACGATAATTTTGCAGGAGAACGCAAATGTTTGGAAGCGGATGCAAATTTCCTTAGGGGAATTAACGCATTATTTTTGCAAAAGAAAATGCAAATAAGAACAGTGCAGTAAATAGTAAAACTGAAACTATATGCGCTACAAGGCCATCGCTGTGTGCGAAATCGCATTCTGTCTTGAGTTTGAATTTGAATTTACTTCGCAACCCTTAAAAAAGTATTTTCTACTGTATATATAGAATGAATATGGACAGTATGAATAAAATCCAGACGTACTACACCTGCCCTGTTGTTACTGTCACGTGACCTATACCAGCATCAGTTGCGTCGCTACTTTTCAATTAATAAACCCCTCCCATGGCCAAGCCTCATGGTGTAGTAGTGTCCATCGAATGCACGTTTTTAACATATTTGGCTTCTGGCATGTGCATTTTGAAGTTCAAAACCAGCAATGTCACCCCCTAGTTGCTGGGAAATATAATGTAGCGATTCAATGGCGAAGCTATTTCATTAATAAAAGTTGATTACAAGTTTCTGTGTTTGGATTTCTGAGTGACTTAAAGGGATAGTTCACTTTGAAATTATGGGGTATCCAAGATGCAGGTGTCATTGTTTCTACAGTAGTTTCAATTTTGATGTTTTTAGGTCAAACCGTTGTTGTCTGTCAGTCATATAATGGAGGTCTATGGTCACCACCTCAGAGAGCACGCACAGAGAAGTCCAAATTAAACATGATTTAATGACTCGTAAATGTAAGTACACATTGATGGCCTAAGACACAAAACGTGGTTTGTGTGAGAAAACGAACAGTATTTATATCGTTTTTAACTCATAACCACAGCTACGTCCAAGTGATCTGAGGCCGTGGGCGCTTTGGTGTGCGCAAACGCCGGAAAGCGCCGGAAGTGATCTCTCGCGCGATTGCGAAAAAATTCAACGTTGTCTGTTGATGTATCGAAATCGTCTTCCATTGCGATTTCCTGTATATCTAAATATGTTTAGATCTTCACAGTGAAAGGTAACGCTTAGAAATCTCAGTGTAAACAATGAGTGACGTACACGCGCGAGAGATCACTTCCGGCGCTTTCCGGCACTTGCGCAAACCAAAGCGCCCGCGCCCTCAGATCACTTGTACATGGCTGTGGTTACATGAGGTACAAACAATATAAATACTGTTCATTTTCTCCCACAAACCGCTCGTTTCGTGTCTTAGGCCATCAATGTGTACTTACATTTACGAGTCATTAAATCATGTTTAATTTGGACTTCTCTGTGCATGCTCTTTGAGGTGGTGACCATATACCTCCATTATATGACTGACAGACACGAACGGTTTGACCTAAAAATATCAAAATTGAAAATACTGTGGAAACAAAGACACCTACATCTTGGATGCCCTTGAGGTAAGCTAAAACATATCAAAAATTAATTTCAAAGTGAACTATAAGTGTGTGTGCGCTTCAATGAAAACATTGCATTAATATAGAACAGCAATTAAACTGACGTTTTGGAACTACCTGTGTATTAAGCAGAATCGAGAATATATACAAACAAAATATCGGAATTGCCAACATGTGTTTTTTTTGTTGTTGTTTTTTTCAGGAAATGATTAATTGAACACATAAAGCTATGGTTAACTAATCAGCATTATGTCAAATGAAAAACATCTTTCTTGTTAGTTTTAATGAATTTGACCTTAATCTTTTTCTTGTTTTTGTTTTGTATTTGTCTTCCTCATTTCCACTTCCTATTTTTCCATTGCTGCCCATCCATCATCCCTTAGGAGAATACCTAGGAGACATACGAAACTGTGATTGTCTTCCATGCTCCTCTGGTTTCTTCACCAGTGAGAGGAACAGAGAAACCAGTTGCCACCGCTGCTTCCAGAGCTGCGATGCTGGTATGAAGATCATTACACCTAACACACCCATGATAGTTTAAACAAGATGAAGTGAGAATAGAAACAGGAAGTATAGCAAAAAGTGCTTCATTTTGAAAACACATTTGTGTGTGTGTATTAGATTCCTATATGGAGGTGGTTAAGGAGTGTACGAAGACATCAGATGTAGAGTGTCGCTGTCAGAAGGGTTATGTATGTGCCACGATAGACAACTACATAGGCCAATGTCTGGAGTGTGTTCCCATCATCACGCCTACCCTGTCCTACACCTCCTCTGACGTCCTTTCATCCACCTCTTCATCCACCGCTTCATCCACCACTTCATCCACCACTTCATCCTCAAGTGCACAGAGCTTGCTGGGTAAGCATAGCTGTTGTCTTCTACATAAGTGTTTCCTAAACTGGGGTTTGTGAGGGAACTGCACAGGGTTCGTGAGATGATGAAAATCTAAAAAAAAATGTATTGTATTAAATGTAAAATGAAAATAAATAAATAGGGCTGCACAATAATGGTGATAAAGCTTAGTGCGATAAACAAATTAAAGGCTGCATTTAAATTAAATAATTGTATCTGATGCTTTTTCATTATTATAATAACCAAAATAAAAAAAACGTATAGTACAAATTTAATTCACAACAATAATATAGTTTTGTCTTTATTTTTATAGTCAAGTCAAATATATTTATATAGCGCCTTTCACAATACAGATCGCATCAAATCTGCTTCACAGTATCAATCAAAACAACTTAACAGTGTTTGTTTATTACTGGAAAAAAGACATCCAAGTTTGGTAGAGCAGATCAATGGTATGATGGCTCATTTAATTTGAATATCCCCAACTGAGCAAGCCAAAGGCAACAGTGGCAAGGAACCGAAAAACTCCATCCAGTGACCCGATGGTGTCCTAAAACTCCATCTGATCACCCAATGGAGAAAAAAAAAACCTTGGGAGAACCCAGGCTCAGTCGGGGGCCAGTTCTCCTCTGGCGTTTATGAGCTAGAGGCCAACATTACAGTAACTGTTAGATAACACATTTATATGAATGCCTGGCTAAATAAATGCGTCTTTAGTCTAGTTTTAAACTGAGAGAGCGAGTCTGAGCAACGAACAATATCAGGAAGGCTATTCCAGAGCTTCGGAGCTAAATGTGAAAATGCTCTCCCTCCTTTGGTGGATCTGGATATCCTAGGAATGACCAGAAGCCTCGAATTTAGTGATCTTTGATTGTAGGGCGATAGAAGATCCGTTAAATAGACTGGAGCTAAACCGTTTAGAGCTTTATAAGTCAAAAGCAATACCTTGTAATTAATACGGAACTTTATAGGTTACCAATGAAGTGATGATACAATCGGTGTTATATGATCATATTTTCTTGATCTAGTAAAAACTCTAGCGGCTGCATTTTGGACTAACTGTAGCTTGTTTATTGAGGATGCAGGACAACCGGCTAATAAAGCATTACAGTAATCTAGTCTCGAGGTCATGAATGCATGAACTAACTTTTCTGCATCAGAGACTGATAGCATGTTACGTAGCTTAGCGATGTTTCTAAGGTGGAAAAAGGATGTTTTTGTGAAATGAAATATGCTTTTCAAAAGACAGTTTGCAGTCTAATGTATGACCCAGGTCTTTTACTGCAGCGGATAAAGTAACAGGGCATCCTAATATGTTAAAGTCGTGCTGCGAAAGGTTTTGTGGACAGTCTTTAGAACCGATAAGTATTACCTCTGTCTTGTCTGGGTTTAATAAAAGAAAATTACGCGTCATCCAATCTTTTATATCTTTAACACAATCTGTCAATTTGGATAATTTAGCGTATTCATCTGGCCGTGATGAAATACATATTTGAGTGTCATCAGCATAACAATGGAAACTAATTCCATGTTTCCTTATAATATTACCAAGTGGCAGCATACAGTGCCCTCCACAATTATTGGCACCCCTGTTTAAGATGTGGTCGAGGACTTTTAAAAATTCTCCCTTTTTTTTAAACAACATAGAACCCAAATGCAAAAAAAGAGAAAAATCCAACCTTTTATTTAAGTACATTACTTTGGTGGTAAAAAAAAAATGTAAAAATTTAGAAAAATAAAAACTTCAAATCATGTGTCCCACAATTATTGGCACCCCTAACAATTCCGCTGAAAAATGTAATTGATTTTAAAAATATATATATTTTCTGTAGTTGCTAATGTTGGTCAGGATATCTAGCAACGTTTAATTAGTAATTCATGACTTCCTATTTCCCTGGGGTATAAATATGACATGACACAGAGGCCTAATTCTCTTACCCATTTGTCAACATGGCAAAGACAAGAGAACACACCATTCAAGTAAGGCAGATGTGTGATGACCTTTATAAGTCAGGCAATGGCTACAAGAAAATAGCCACTCACCTTATCTTGCCCGTATCTAAAGTTAGAGGAATCATTAAGAAGTTTAAAACAACTGGAACAGTGACAAACAAGGCTGAAAGAGGTCCCAAGTTTATCTTGCCACAACGCACTGTGAGGAGGATGCTAAGAAAAGTAAAAAAAAGTCCTAAGCTCACTGTCACAGAATTGCATCAAATAGTGGCATCTTGGGATCACAAAATCTCCAAAACAACCATCAGACGCTCTCTACATGCCAACAAGATGTTTGGGAGGCATGCTAGGAAAAAGCCTTTTCTCACTAACACTGACAAACGTAAACGTCTGGAGTTTGCCAAGCGGCACTGGGACTTCATCTGGGATCGTGTGCTTTGGTCGGATGAGACTAAGATTGAGCTTTTTGGCAACAAACACTCTAAGTGGATCTGGTGTAAAACAAAAGATGTGTATGCCGAAAAGTACCTCATGCCCACCGTGAAGTATGGTGGAGGATCTGTGATGCTGTGGGCCTGTTTCTCTTCCAAAGGCCCTGGGAACCTTGTTAGGGTGCATGGCATTATGAACGCTTTGAACTACCAGGACATTTTAAATAAAAACCTGATGGCCTCTGCCAGAAAGCTGAAGATGGGTCGTCATTGGGTCTTTCAGCAGGATAATGATCCAAAACGTGTAGCAAAATCTACACAAAAATGGTTCAGTCACAAACTCAAGGTCCTCCCATGGCCATCTCAGTCCCCAGACCTCAATCCAATCGAAAACCTGTGGGGTGAGCTAAAGAGGAGAGTGCACAAGAGAGGGCCCAGGATACTGGATGATCTAGAAAGATTTTGCAAAGAAGAATGGTCAAAGATCCCTCTCTCTGTGTTCTCCAATCTTGTGAAATGTTATAGGAGGAGATTAAGTGCTGTCTTGTTGGCAAAAGGGGGTTGTACAAAGTATTAACATCAGGGGTGCCAATAATTGTGGGACACATGATTTGAAGTTTTTATTTTTTTAAATTTTAAATTTTTTTTTTACCACCAAAGTAATGTGCTTAAATAAAAGGTTGGATTTTTATCTTTTTTTGCATTTGGATTCTATGTTGTTTAAAAAAAAGGGAGAATTTTTAAAAGTCCTTGACCACATCTTAAACAGTGGTGCCAATAATTGTGGAGGGCACTGTATATATTGAGAATAATAAAGGGCCTAACACAGAACCCTGTGGCACTCCATAGTTTGCCGAAGAAATTATCAATTTTTCTCCATTTAAGTAGACGAAATGGTTGCGGTCAGGTAAGTATGACCTGAACCAGCTTAATGCTTGTTTTATAGAGTTAAAACATACACTACTATTACTACTGCTACTACTACTACTAATAATTACTATATCAGAGAACCATTAATTTTAAATTATTGTAATATTAAAGTGTACATTTTTTACATAGTTACAAAGCATCTCTGTATCTATATTATTCTCTATATTAGTAAGCACTGTTTATGAACTCTAAAATGCCTGGATTGTAGTCTTGAACTTTTTTCCAGAAAGTATATTCCTCATTTAAATAATTCCCACCCAAGGCATTTGCAAAAAGGGGGGCGAGGCTCGGGTAACCAACCACCATCAAACAAACCAAATGTGGGACAGTTATAAGTTTGTGTGGGACAATGTACACCAACACTAAATCTAACTTGATAAAAAACATTTATATTCTGCCTTTCATTCAGCTGATAAAAATTCTGTGTTCCTTTGTCCCTTCCAGAAAAAAAAATCTTTATTTTACATGTCATTTAAATTCAACATCACTGAGCCCAAAGGCAGCAGGCATCATGCAGATAACTATTAGAAACAGTTCTGACCAAGTCCAACTAAAATCCAACAAAATAAACAATGAATAAAAAAATATAAAACAACATGAAATTAGATAGACAGTCTTATATATTAAACCTGAGTGCAAACATGGAGGCTCTAGACCCTTCCAGAGCTGAGATATCGAAACTCAAAATTTCGACCCAAAAAAAAGGCAGTGGTACCACTTTCGTTTTTTTTTTTCGGGCGAAAAATAAAGTTTCTCCAATCTTCTCAAAACTCTGGATTCTAATAGAGGGCCATGAGACTTAAACCTGAGTGCAAAAATGGGGGCTCTAGACCCTTCCAGAGCTGAGATATCGAAACTCAAAATTTCGACCCAAAAAAAAAATGACAGTGGTACCCCTTTCGTTTTTTTTTCGGGCGAAAAATAAAGTTGACTGCAAAAATGGAGGCTCTAGACCCTTCCAGAGCTGAGATATCGAAACTCAAAATTTCGACCCGAAAAAAAAAACGACAGTGTTACCCCTTACGTTTTTTTCAGTTTTTGGGCGAAAAATCAAGTTTCTCCAATCTTCTCAAAACTCTGGATTCTAATAGAGGGCCATGAGACTTAAACATGAGTGCAAAAATGGAGGCTCTAGACCCTTCCAGAGCTGAGATATCGAAACTCAAAATTTCGACCCAAAAAAAAAACGACAGTGTTACCCCTTACGTTTTTTTCAGTTTTTGGGCGAAAAATCAAGTTTCTCCAATCTTCTCAAAACTCTGGATTATGATAGAGGGCCGCGAGACTTTGACCTGAGCGCAAAAATGGAGGCTCTAGACCCTTCCAGAGCTGAGATATCGAAACTCAAAATTTCGACCCGAAAAAAAAACGACAGTGTTACCCCTTACGTTTTTTTCAGTTTTCGGGCGAAAAATCAAGTTTCTCCAATCTTCTCAAAACTCTGGATTATGATAGAGGGCCGCGAGACTTTGACCTGAGCGCAAAAATGGAGGCTCTAGACCCTTCCAGAGCTGAGATATCGAAACTCAAAATTTCGACCCGAAAAAAAAAAGACAGTGTTACCCCTTACGTTTTTTTCAGTTTTCGGGCGAAAAATCAAGTTTCTCCAATCTTCTCAAAACTCTGGATTATGATAGAGGGCCGCGAGACTTTGACCTGAGCGCAAAAATGGAGGCTCTAGACCCTTCCAGAGCTG